AAGGGTTAATATCATTTTATTACTAGTAAAAAAAAATTAGATATTTGCGTTAAGCTTAAAGTATAAAAAATTTCTAAACATCCAAACTTAATTTAAATTTTTTTTTTTAAATTTATTCAAGTTGACTAATGTGCTTGACTCGATTTAAATGGCTTGACTTGGTCACATACTGTGTGGGCGTGCGGCAGTGTTAACCATTAACGACAGTCGCCTTCGCTTCATCGAGAGCACACGACAAATAGCCTGTTGGGATCATCCGTGCTTGATGTCGTACTCAGAGAGTTATTCTAATTCATTCCAACTGTGATCTATAACTAATACGGTTCATGCATTATACAAAGCTTAACAAATGGTCTATAATGATGCGGCTTGTAATAGTTATTATGTGAAACATAAATAATTAAGTGGATGATTTTATGATTTTAAGAAATTGGTTGAATTTTTTTCTTTATCAGATACATTTAGAATAACTATTTAGCAAAGCAATAATAGTGAGGGAGTTTCATTGGAGGTACCGCGTAACTTGGTGGTTCGGACCCAAAATTGTGAAACAATCAAACGTGAACAAGAGACGCAGGAAGGAAAAGAAGCCCAGTCCAATGGCGGAAACAGGGTTCGGTGACAGGTTCACAAGAAAACCGCAAACTGTGAGTTTCCCGCGGATCCATGGTATTGGAAAAGTCGTGGTTGAATGTCAAGATTGTGCGGCTGAGAATAGGATACGTTAAGCTTTAATTTCGCCCACTGGAGAGAAGAGTGAATGGTGAGGATTTACCCAAAACAACTTGACTTCACTGGAGAGGCCGCGGAGTGGGCCAGTATGATTCGGAAGATGGGATGAGGGGCATTAGTCGGAGGACACTAATTGCCTTTTAAACAAGATATTAAAAATTAAATGGGTCATTAAACTAGTTAAGTCACTTGTTTAAGAGTTATTGTTAAAATGATAATTGAATTGTGATCTTAGATTAGTTATTAAAAGAACATTTCATTAAACAAACTAAGATATTGATTCAATGATTTATTGATTTTATTAGTTAAATTGACTCAGTTTTTGATCCTACTATTCACTTATCATTAATTTACTTATATATACTTATTTTAATAATATTTTTGTTAATGTTAAATCTCAACCACTCGAATTATAATATAATGAGGGTGGAAAACTAAATCAAAAACTGCATTGAGTGTAATAAAAGTACAGTCACAACTAATTTAATTTAAATTATATTTATGTATATCTCAATGTTTTCAAAACTAAATCGGATATTGAATTAAAAATGTTAGCAATTCATGATTTGTATGGTTCAATCAAGTTAAACCAATGGTCAAATTAGTAACCTAATAATTAAATTAAGAAAATTATATATGCAAATAATAATCTAAATATAAGAAATAAATATGAAACTATTACTTAAATTAAAATTAAAATTAAATATTTTAAGTTTATCATGATTTAATAAGCCACATGATATAACATAACATTAAATGATTAAAAAATTTATTATTTTTTAAAAAAATTGTAAAAAAGAACAATCTTATTTTTGAAAATAGGGTCTGGTTTCTAGTTTGCTCCCGATTCTCAATTCAAAATGGTACAACCCTACTCAACTTCAAAATAATTTTTACATACTAATCGAATCAAAATCTAAATCAGTCAATTGTCAGATGTTTGATCTAAATTTTTTTAATCATTGATATATTTATATTCATCATGGATTCATGGTCAACACTTAGGAGCAATTAGTTACAATTTTCTAAATCCATTCATCCCATATATGTTCTATAAGATATTAAAAAGTAAAAAGGTTAAAATATAAATCTATCTCTGAGTTTTTTCCAAAACCACAATTGATGTTCTAAAATATTTAAAGAAGTAGTGTTGCCTTGATGTTTTTAAAAATGGAACAATTTTGCTTGTGTTAATAGGCCCTAACGTTTAACCGTCAACTGACTAACTGTACTTATGAGTCATGCTTAGAACATATTTTTTGGGTTAAATATGTGCTTAGGCGGAAGTTCCACCACACCACCCTTCGACTTCTTCTCACCAAGACTAATTTTCTGACTCCATCTGAACTTCCAAACAACTTTAGCCGCGTATTTGTACTTTAATTCAAATTTTTTAAAAAAAAACAGAAGATATAATCATATACACCAACTTCGCATGCACGTGATAATTTTATTCCCCCCTTCCTAAATGGCCCAATACATAAGTGATTAAGGGTGTGTTTGGATAACATATGCCCAAATCTCAATTTGGGTGTGAAAAGCTCATTTAGAAGTTGGGGAGCATATTTGGCTAATAGATTTTTTAAGAGAGCTCGTGAATCAAAATACATGTTAAGAAAAAATAGTCAAACATAAATGACATTAAAGTTGCTGAATTTTATGGTAATTTCAGTTTGCAAACTCCGTGTAATTCTAACTGTAGTTTCAAAACCTCTAATCCCAAGTCCAAACACCCCTTAAACAATTTAGAAGCCTATTAGTATCAGGCAAAAGTATATGATGAATATAGAGATGTTCTAGTATCGAGCAAGCTATATATTATTCAGTGGAGTGAAGGCTGGAGCAGTAGATGGAATCCTGATTTTTGAATTCGTCAAGAATCCGTGTATTTTGGCACGGAAGATATTTAATGCTCTGACTTGTTTGGTAAGTGACCCGAGGGGAATGCTTGCGACATTACAGCATTTAATATTTCGACCGTGTGAATCTTCAAAAAGCGCAAGTCTGTCTTCTAATGCGCGGAAATTGCTGTCCTTGCAAGTGATGTTGAGTTCAACCGTCGTTTAGTTAGGTCAAGATCCTCTCACCAGGACTCCGTCAAACCCCTGCCTGCTCCATCACCCTTTCTCTGTTCACTTCTCATATTCCCTTTTCCTTGAAAATATGAAACATTTTTTTAACATTTTACGTTTTTCGAGATCTTGTTGACAAGATTTTTTTAAAAAAATATTTTTAATTAAAGTTATAATTAATAAAAATATTTTAGTTGAAATACCTTATTACATAAAAATAAATAGAAAAATATATAATTTTAAAAATAATTTATTTATTTATTGAAGGTGTGATTTGACAAATTTTTTTTATAATATTAAATAGAGGGGGTAATTCTTTTTCTTTCATGTTTTCTCTGGCCAAACACTTCCCATGATTCTATAATCTACAGCAGCCTTGATTCCTTACACTTGTCTGCTTTCACACCCCACGGTACGCCAACTTCTTTCCGCATTTTCGCGTATTGGCTTCCTCCTCAGTTTCCTATAGATTCACTTTTCAAGATTCCGTGACAAAAAACGAGATTCCAAAAATGCGCTCAACATATCTTGTGTCCCGGACTATGTCATATCCGCACGCGTTATTCTCCAGTACAACATATTCTATTATATTAGTTATATGCTATTATGAGAATTATGTTAAAATCCTAATAAAAATATTAATTACTACATGCATTGATTTTTGTTGTTAATAAATTTTATAACAATTATTTTTTTTATGTGACACCTGTATGTTATTTTTTTTATCATATTCATCTTCAGGCTTTATTTTAATTGAATCTTTCTTTTCATTTTCGTTTTGCGTACTATATTATTGGTTCCCTGCAGTCCCTAAACGAGCGCCATCCAGAACATGTTGGCCAAAATAAGGTGTTGAGCACGTGTTTGAATTACAGCTGGCAAGCTCTTGTGGTTTCATACTCAATACGTGGCATCACGAGGGTTGAGGGGCGTGACGCGGTCCTACCAATAGTAGCGGGAATCAGTTCCATCAAGTGCATAAAGCTGTGAAAACTCAGCAACATCTACAGTAAAATAATAAAGGGAACGCAAACAGACATAGAAAGTTACTATATTCTGCACAGCACAAACGGGCATGCCTTCATAGTACTGCTAAAAGTCGGCGAGTGTTCCCCCCCCCCCCAAAAAAAAAAAAAACTATGCGACACCTTGTCTTGTGCTTCCCCATCTCCACCTGAAAGACAGCCAGCCAGACACATAACTGACTTTTGCCGGATCGAGCAAACATGAAAACCATGTCTAATTGACTCTGTTTCTACACACAGACAGCTATATATGCATCCAACACAACAGCGAAATGAAAGATTCATATTCACTGACCTTTTCTTTTTCTTTTTCTTTTTTTTTGGTTGCTCACAGATATAACCTGCTTCCTTTTACTACTACCCAATAAGTTTTCGCTAATTAACAAACGTTGGAAATTAATTAAACATATAAACTTGTAACCTTCATCTTCCATTATGATAGACTAGACACAGCTGGAATCGGGGGGCAACGTATCCCACTCAGACCAACTCTTATAACGCGAAGTCACGAGTCGATAAGTCGGCCGCGGCTGGTCGTGTACTAAATTAATAAATTATTCATCGACCTGCTTCTCCAGGACCTGACTTCAGTGCTAACCAGCATGCTCCTCGTTGTGATTAAACTTGCACCATTTAAATTTTTACTCATCGAGATTTAAAGCATTATTTTATTTTATATTTGTTAACATAAAAATTTATAAAATTTATAAAATACTCCCTTCGATTTTATTTATAAGTCATTTATATTAATCTTATTAGTATCAATACAATAAAAGTATAATAAATAAAACTTAATGAAATTACATAGATAATCCTCAAAAAGTAAATAAATTATAGAAGATTATTTTTTTTAATTTTTCTCTCTCACTTTTTAAAGATAATTTAAATATTTCATTTGAAACAAAACACACTATCAACTAAATGCCTTATAAAGTGAATCACTTTATCCTTCTAGAAGGTGAATAATAAAATGGACTGAAGAGAGTAATTTTAATAATTTTTATTTTTAATATGATCTAAATTTAATTTAAAAGATCTAATTTAATATTAAAATTTTTATACTTACTATATATTGACTATCCAAATGTACTTTCTGCAGTTCAGATTAATACCAAATTAAATCTGGATTGAAAAAAATATATTTGAATAGTCAATATATAGTAATCATAAAAATTTTAATATTAAATTTAACTCTTTAAATTAAATCTAAATCACATTAAAAATAAAAAAAAGCATTAAAATTATATTACAAATTTTTATAATTTTTATTTTAATAAATATAAATTTAAAAAAATATAATAATATTTTAAATCTAACAGTCCCGTCAAAATCTGGATGCTCCACCAGTGAAGACGAGCCCGCTAGCTTCCCTAAGGCATGACTCATTAATTAAACACACTGTTTATTCTGGCCACGAGCCAATTTATTCAATAATTCACCAGCTCTGAGTAGTTCCGGGAGCGGAGTCCGAAGAGTCTCCGGCGGCAAAATCCATCATCCACTTTTCCAAATCTGCTTTTCCAATCCTATCCCAGAATTCACCATCCTCAAACATCATTGCATCCGTTCCGCTGCTCGGATTCTCGGTATTCCCCTGCTCCGACTCCGACCCCGCTGTCCCTGGCGGCGCCGTCACCGGAGGAGCTTCCGGCAGCTGACTGTCATGCAAATTCAGCAGCGAGTCATCACAGAAAGGAAAGTTCAGCTTGGCGCGGGGCCCACGGAACTCGATGGCCGCTTTATCATACGCGCGAGCTGCTTCCTCCGCCGTCTTGAACGTTCCCAGCCAGACCCGGGTAGCTCTTCTCGGGTCTCGAATCTCGGCCGCCCATTTCCCCCAGGGCCTCTGCCTCACTCCTCTGTACTGCTTCTTCGCCCTCTTCTGCGGCTGTCTGTTGCCGACATTTTTGGCCTTCTCTTCTGGTACAAGCTTGCAGCCGGAGCAGGAGGCGAACACGAAATCAGGGCAGCTGGTGCTGACAGTAAGGTCTGGCGCGGTGTTGTTGGCATGGTGGACGGTGTTCTCGGCGGAGGCGGCGGCGGCGATATGGGGCAAGTTGAATTGGTGGGTGAGATCGGGGGTGGAGCCGAGGACAACGTTGGTGAGTGCGGCGACGATGACGGAGAGTTCTTGGTCGGGAGAGAGTGAGGTAGGCGGGCGGGGAGAGGTGGAGGAGGAAGCGTCGTAGGACATGTCCGAGAGAAAAGGGAAGAGTGTTTTGTGAGAGAGAAGTATGGGAGGCGCGTTTTGGATGATGAGATGCAGAAGCGGATGAGGAGGCGAGGGATGGGGGGCTTATATACGGTTTGGGTTGACGTGGCTGGTGGCAGCTGCGCACACAATTCACACACGGGGTTGAAGAGGCATAGTGGAAAGTGAATAAGATTTGCCGTGTCACTGTTTTGACAAAGCCAGAACGGGTCATGTTAATTATTATTGGGGCAGTCCCGTCCCATGAAAACTCGCTCCAAGACAAGGAAAACAGGTCAGCACTTGGACAGTGACACCCCGGGAAGAAGGAGCTGATGTTGTTGCCCTGGACGGTTACATCTACAGCGGACGGTTACAGCGCCAATATCCAATTATCCATAGTGCTTGCTTAGCGTATTATCGTCATCGTCTGACCCTGTCAAATTTGAAGTTGGCTTTTGTCCTTCTGGAGAGGAGAAAACATTACACATATATTGATAGCGTTAAATTGAATTTAATGATATAAATTCAGTCATTTTTAAAATTAAAAATTTAATTTAAACAGTTCATATTGATAGTAAAAAGAAAAGGCATTGAAGAAAAATCTAGTCCGACAAATTTGAGCAATGTCAACCCAATTTAGGATGATTTTCTCTCTGGTATTTTCTATAGCCACGTGCGCATAAAGCCTTGGGCTCATTATTATTAGGATAAAATATACCATTAGTGTTATAACTTTACACAATATTTTATTTTATTTTATTTTTTTAATTTTTTAAAGTGCTTTTTTCTGTCATTTAATCAAAAAATCATTACTTTCATCATAAAAAGATATAATTAAAAATTATTTTATTAAAAATCATTACTTTCATAAAAAAATGTTTTCATTGAATTTTTAGATATTGATAAAATATTCTTAAATATTAACATATTAAATTTATTTTTTAAAAATAAAAGTGATTAGCATGAAAAATAATCATTTAAAATTGAATGTGTTTAGATTAAAGAATTAGAAATATATTTTATAAAATTAAGAGATCATACTAAAATTTTATATAAAGTTAGATGACAAAAATATACTTTAGCCTTTTTGTTGTTGTTGTTGTTAATTATCAGTTATTAATTAATTATCTTTAATGTTCTAAGAACTTAGAAGAAATTGCCTTGGTATTGTATTCTCTTTTGAATTGTAGCAGTCCTGCATGTAAGTTTCGATATTTATAATTTGTAAAAAGTATAACTTATTATAAACAGTAATAATTTATACATTAAACAATGACAACGCTGTAGTAGAAATGAATATTTCATTTTTAGGAGAATGATTAATTGAATGAAAATATAACAAGAAATGATGACACTTTTTGAAGACTATTGTTTTTCGTTAATTCCAAAATAAAGCAATTTCTAATACTTCATCTGTTAAAAAATATAAAATATTTTTTAAAGAGTTAGATATTTAAAAATATAAAATATTTTTAATTATTAAGGTGCATTCATTATTCTTTTTTTAAAAGTGTCCTACTAATGAATGACTTTATCTTTATTATAAGGTGTTTAATAAAAGTAAATATGAAAAGATATGATTAGTTTGAAAGTAGGTAATTATTTTATTAAAAGAAAAATTTAGTTAAAAATATCTCATATTTTTTAACGGATGAAGTATTGATTATAAGTGACACTAAATCATACTCTATCATATAATTATTATAAGCCACCTAATTTTAAAATGAATGGATAGTCTTTATTATAAATTACTTTGTGAGACATTAATTATTTTTTTAACTTAAAATTAAATTAAATTGAACAAATTTTTACATAACAAATAGTTCACAATCCAAACCCAATCCATAAAAGAAGGAAAGAGGGGAGGGGGAATAATAAAAGATACTCCCTCTGTTCAAAAATATAAGGCATCTTTTGAAGAGTTGGATGTTGAAAAAGTAAGATATTTTTAATCTTTTGAGGTGTAATCATTGTCTTTTTTTTTTCAAAAGCGCCCCTATTGATGGTGACTTTATATTTATTATAGGATAGTTAATAGTGGTAAATATGAAAAGATAATATTAGTTTAAAAGTAGGTAAGATCTTTATTAAGGGGTGAGATTCGATTAAAAATACTTTATATTTTTAAACGGAGAGAATACTAATAAAGAAAAGCAAAGAGTTTGAAACAACATGTGTAGCTCACGTGCATTATAAATAATAAATTATAGGAAACCAATGGGTTGCGCATAAACAAGGGATGGGAATTAGGCAAGCTCTATCCGAGATTTATACCCTCATCTATTTCTGATCCAATCTGTATTATTTATTAAATAGACTTAGGTTAAATTTAAGTATTTAATTAAGTTTATTTAGTTAACTAAATCAAGCCTAACTTATGAACCTAACAGATTAACCTATTCACACACATGCATGCGCGCGCACCCACACGCACTCACGCGCGTGCACACTTTATTATTTTTTTAGCTATATTTTCAATTAGATTGGATTTATATATTAAATTTTAATGTTATTAGTTCACTATATTCTATTGTAATTAGTAACTCTTTTCAATTATTATATATTATTATTGATAAATCATGTTATATATTTATACTAATAATTTTAAAATATATTTGAGACGTGTTTAAACTAAAATACAAGCTTATTTAAAATGTTTATTTTTAAATAGGCTTTTAGGCCAAATCATACTTTAAATAGGCTCAAACCTGATCTATAAAGAAAGCCTCATACAGGTTTTAGACTAAGTTTAAGCCTCCAACATACTATATAGGTTCAGACTTATTTAATTAAAACCTAACTCAACTTAATTTATCTTTACACCTACATGCAGAGTAGGTATGTTGAAATTTGTAAAAATGGTTTATAAATACAGAAAGTTAGAGTCATTTATATTAAGAGAGAGAGAGAGATTGATTGATTAAAGCGAGGCATAGGAACATTTATACCAGCCAATTTAAATCATCTCCCTCATTGTTAAATACATGGAAGAGTATCGGAATTGCACCCTATGCCCATAAAATGATAAATACAGGATGCTTATAGGGAGAATCGCGGTAAGGGCCCTTAGGGAAATAAAAAAAAAAAATCACAATTAAAACTCAGTGAAATCTGAATTGATTCTGCAAACCTCTGCGCCTCGGTTGCAAATATATTTTATAATGAAAAGGCTTTTGCCTTCAAGGATGTAGACCTTCCTGATTCTCTGTACAAACACAACGTCTTTCTTTCCCACCCTTAATCGCCACCAAGAGTCTCTCTCTCTCTACCTCTGTTGTTGGTGGTCGTCGTCATCCTCATCATGGAGATCCCTCAGACTCTCTCCAAATTCAAGTACCACTTCCTCGCAGCTCTGCTCTTAGTCTTCACCGTCTCCCCCTTTGCTGTCCTCTCTCCCAGATTCGTCACCGTCTTGGCTTACTTCTGGCCGCTCTTTTATGGTTCACAAGCAAAGACGATGAGAGGAACTTATAAAGATCACAGTGAAAATTGGAGCACTACTTGAGGTGGGCTCAGGCTTTGCAACTTTGTGGGGCTTCATGTTTCTGGTTGGTCTCATGTGATGCTTTCTCACCACTAAACCTCCCGACCTCCTTTCCGGCAACGACAGCTGCACGGATGCTCCTGTGATGGCGGTGGCCATGCGCATGCGTTTGAGCTCCTGAAATCTTTCACAAACTTTGCCTTCAATGCTGGACATCGTTGGTGCATGCTTGCTATAGGTACAGATTTTTATAATTGTGAATAATAATATAGAAGAGTTATTAAATTAGTATCAATATCTTTGCAAGTCTGTAATTATATACATAGTATGATTCTAGATTTGAAGTTTCAAAGCAGTTTTTTTTTTCCTTTGCTTTTTGGCTTATGTTTTCGTACTTTCTTGTCATGATTGTTGTGGCTTGATCCTTTGTTAATTCATTCATTTCCCCTTCAATTAAAAGAGATGGGAAATGAGTCTGATGTTGCTCTTCTGATCTCTAGTCGAACAGCCTTGGTAGGAAGAGAATGTTAGAATGTTTTACAGCGAAACATTACTTTTCCAAGGAAGAGAATAATACCATGGTAGGGTGGGAGGAGACAGCAAGTGGGAAGGCTAAGGGCAGAGCTATGAGGAAGTGGCATTTGAATCTGGAGAGAGTTTGAGGGATCTCCATGATGAGGATGAGGATGACTATTGGCTGCAGAGTTGGAGAGAGTCTTAGGTGGCGATGAAAGGGAGGAAAGAGAGTTGTTGTGTTTGTGTAGAGAGTAGGAAGGTTCACATTCTTGAGGGGTAAATAAGTTTTTTAATTAAAAAAAAAAAAACTATTTACAGCCGCTGTCCAAGGGGCTGCAGAATCAATTTAGATTTTACTGGGCTTTAATTGTGCCTTTTTTTTTTTTTTTTTGCTTCCGAGGGCTTTCATGCTTTTATATCATCGATTTGAACTAATTTAAATTGATTTCGATCTGTCCAAATCTGATTTAGTCCAGTGTTTGTATTTTTTATTTTATTTTAATAGATGTAGGACTAAAATAAAATATTAAATCTATCAAAAAAAAATAAAACATTAAATGGGCAATGTTGGGAAAAGGAATGAAATATTAATTAGAGGACTGAAATCTTAAGTAGTTAACATCAAATTGGATTGTTCACATAAATTGAATTATTAATTATAAATTAAAAATTTACTGCACTTCTACCTTAATTTTAATACCTTTACTCTCTCCTTTTTAAATTATAAAATATTTTTGAAGAGATTTAGCATTTTAAAATATAATATATTTTGAAAAAAAATTTATTAACAATGTTTTATAAATAAAGTACTAAATAAAAAATATTTTTAAAAATTTATATTTTTATTTTTAAAAAATAAAGATATAAATTATATTTAAAAAACTTTACTTTTATGTACAATTTTATTTAGAAATATCTTATAAATTAAGATGGAGAAGTATTTATTTTGATTCTCTTTAGAAGACACCCCAATATTATTATGTTAATCTATGCATTTTTGTTTCATTGTTAAATGCTATAATATTTTATTTTAAATATATGTATTTAAGAAAAAATTAATATTTTACTTTTTTAACTTTTAATGTATTTGTAATTTCATCCCTCAATTTTTAACTTGTGTATGACTCAATTTTTCAACTTTTATTAATTCTCTTTTTTTATGTTAACTTGGATCACACATTTAAAAGTAAGAAAAGGGTATTCTAGAGTAAAATATGATCACTTCTTTTTTTCTCTTATTTGATAAAGATAATCTTTTTAAAAAAATTAAAAAATAAAGATCGAATTATAAGTGAGTAAAAAGTTAAAAAATTATATTATAATAAATTATAATTGAAAAATTAAATTGTAGCAAGTCATAATTGAGAGATTAAATTATAATTGAGTTAAAAATTAAAAAAATAAAAGATTTATTTTTTTATACTTAATAAAGATCAAATTATAAAGTGGTAGTAAAATTTTAAACAAATTTAATGTGATTTGAAATTTTTGTTTGTGTCAGTAAAAACTCTGAGAGTGAATTATGAATAATTTAGATTCCTTCCGAGAGGGAAATTAAAACGTGCGCCGTCCAGTGACGTTACAGGGTCCTAGATGGCGTCATAGGGAGAATAGACGACAGGCGGGAGCCAGCTGGTGACGCGGTCTTTGCTCATAAAAAATTTATAATATTTTATTTACCCTTTTGACGTCACTGTCCGCTTCCGCTTTTCTCCTCAGTCCTCTCAGCCCTTTCATTTTCACCTCTACCCTTCCCCATACCTCCTTAAGTATTTAATATTTTGGTCAAAATAATATATTCAAGTTCACACAGCGCGCACCCTCCTATTCATTCTGAACCCCAACTTTAATAGATCTCTATGCTGCAATTTTCTCACAGTTCAAATACGTATTTGCTATCTCCCATCCTGAATTCTCCAAACCTTCATTTGACTCCAACTTGATTTTTTTCTTGTCCCTTGTTTCCCTTGAATTAAATGAATCTCTTTCATTGCTATGCTCGAATATTATTCTCTCTGTATAATTTAAGATAAAATTATACATATTAATAAAGTTTCATAACAAAATTTTAAAAATTTATTTTTTTAAAATAAAATTATAAACATTTAAAAATATCGTTACACATTTAATCACTACTCACTCCGGATTACAGTACAAAATATTTTTTTAAAAATTTTTCCTGATCTAAAATATAGAATATTAAATAATTTTATATTTATTTTTCTAACTATGCTCCTACTTCATTTATTATTTTTTTAAAAAAATAATGCAGTAAAATTTTAATTACCATTATCAAAACTCCTATATAAGGTATTTAATAAAAGTATAAATGAAAAGATATAAATATTTTTTAAGAATTTAAATTGTTTATAAATTATGAATTAATTAACTATGATTTATATTGTGATTCAGAGGGAGTACATTATAATATTATTTCAATTTTCTTTCCTCTTGAAAGGTAATATTAGAAAAACATAATTAATGAAACTTTATTTTTTTAAAATTATTTTATATATTGAGACAATAAAATATTTTTAAAACTATCTTATAATTTAAGATGGAAGAAGTATTAAAAGTAACAAGACAACATATAGCATATATTGGGCCAAAAAATCAAGGGAGAATTAGGACCTTTAAAACACAAAAATTTACCCTACAAGCCTAAAGGCCCTTCTTGAAAATTTTATGATGAAAAAAATGCAATTGCCTTTGTCTTAAGGACATGTACATGTATACACAACATAGTATTAACAATTTTTTAACATAATGTTCATGAATACACAGTACATCTAGTAAATATGGTTTGATTTGAAATGAAATGTATGAGCAAGCAAATAATAAATAATATAATGCCTACCAATTCTTAATACAATAAACATTTATATGATATAAAATTCATAATGAACAGCATGCTTTTATTGCAATAATGTACTTTAAGTTAATGTTCACTAGATGTGTTATACATTTATAAATATTGTGTTGAGAATTCGTGGACATTATGTTGTTGATATATGCATATTCTATTGAGATAAGGGCAAATATATGTTTTTGTTCATAACAAAATTTGCAAGAAGTGCCCTTAAGTTTACAATACTTTTCAAATTTTATTGAGCTTATAATACAAATTTTTGTATTTTAAGGGCGCTAAATGAGATTCTTCCAAAAAAAAAAACACAAACCAAAACGCACAACGACAACAAACAAAAATTCAGTCACTTAACTGGTGAAATTCGTGTAAAATATGTACTGGGCCTTATACGAAAAGCACACGAAGTAAAACAGAAGCTGAAAAAACAGAAACGTAAATGAAATCGTTAGCAGCTTCAACATCTGTCTGTAAAGATTGTGCAGCATTTTACAACCGAAAAAAAAGATTGTGCAGCAACTTGGAAAGGCAACTATACCAATCCTTGAAGACAAAACCTGAAAGACTAAAATTCACTGAAAAAGAAATGGACCTCTAGGTGGTACCTAAAGAACTACTGTAAAATCATGAGGTTGAGGAAATAGGATCACCTTCTTCAGAATGGAGAATGCAAACTTTCTTCAGTTTCATCATGCATGCTCACCTGCCTTTGCAGGTCAAGGGCATTGACTCTGTTCCTGTTCGCGTGATGTGTTCGGCCGCCATGGATAAACTGGAACAGTAAAGCCTTGTAATAATCATGCTCCAACACTCGGAATACATAGAAGATCACCATCACTGTGCTTAAAGAATAACATGATAATTCATAAAACGTTCAAAGATTGTGACTGAATATCCTTAAGGTGGTAATAATAATTAATAAGATCTTGAAGTTTCTCAGCATGCACACCACGTTGATCCACAATCTTGGCAAACAAATAATGACTTTGACAGAACACTCCTATTATTATTATTATAACAGCCATGCATGATGCAACAGGTTCGTTAATTAATTTATTTTCTTTCATTATTTCTGTTTGAGGTCTAACAGAAACAGCCAACCAGAGCAAAGAATTCCCAGACAAAATCTCCATCTCTTTCATCGTCCTCTGAATCTGCAAGTGGCAGAGCCCTCCAGCAAAATAAGACTAAGATAACATGGAAAGTGAAGACTTCCAGGCTTTGCATGTAGATGATGGTTAGGAGCATAATTCTGTTTTATTTTGTCATTGTTAATGGCAAGCAAGCATGTTTATGAATTAGCTTATGAGCTTCTTCAATATAATGGTTGAGACTTGAAATATCATATTAATAAAATTCATGCAGTGGAAGGATGTTTGACAATCTTTGCGGCTTCCATGAACACGTGGCTAGCATCATGAAGCCAATCCTGGAAATCCTGTAAATGCAGCATCTGTAACTTACCTACTTGTATTTTCCTTTTAGGTGAAAAGGAGAAAGTTGGGAGCAAAATCTTCAGCATCCATGTTCTTTATTGTAACAAAAAATCAAAGTCCACCCACAAATATGAAGAAATAACAAAAGCTGTTAATGCACGTAGCAGCAACAGGCTATATATACATGAAGTAAAAATGACATGGCCTAGTAACTCATGTAAGAAATTTTTTTCAAACATTTAAAAGTAACTCCTCAAAGGGCATAACGTAAGAAACAGGATTGTGGAATCAGCCACCATAATCTTGCATGTAAAACTACTCATTGGTACAACTCGACAAAATTTTCTGCCCAAAGGTTAAAAATCAGACAGCTATCATGGGCATGAAACCAAGGAAGGATCTAGAAGCAAGCTTGAAGGAAGCCTTGCATGGTTAAAGTCTAGAATCTACGAGACTTGTGAAGAATGTTCTAGAATATTATGATATAATCTAGAAATATCTAGACTAGTCTATAGAAATCTAAAACGCTCTAGAACGTTCTAAAATCATATGGTATACTATAGAGAAGTCTTGATAGATTTGGGATGTGTCTCTGCATCTCTTATGTGTAAGATAAAACTCTAGAAACACCCTTATAAATATCTAGATATTTGCATGATATTTTTAGGCAAAAGGTTCTACTCGAAGCAATGATAGCCACACAAGTTTGGGAGGCCTTTCAAATATAAATAGGCCACCCTCTTATTTGTAAATCAAATTCGAGAAGCAATATGTTTCCACATTCTCAAACTCTCTAAGTTGCTTTTGCTCTCAAAGTTCCAAACCTCCACTTTGCCCAAGTGCTTCCTACTCACAAGAAAGGCTTATTCAGTATCTTCCTCGCATGATTTTCTAAGTGCCGCGTGGGTTTATATGACATTATGCTTGCTTATGGAAAAGAATAACAGTAAAAATAACAATGCTTATGTACTGTGCACAGAACTTTCAATTTCAACTTCGCATTGGTGATTCCATGTTCTTGTAGCGAGTCCCTACACACTAGTGTATTCACTTCCACGCTACCTCACATATAATTTTGGCTATTTCGAGTGACTTTGCACGTCTAGCTTACCTCCCCATGGATTGTGCTCTATGTTCTTCAGAGTACTGTTAGAAATGTTCAGCATTGATTTCGCATATCCATATTATGCTGTCAACAACTTACCTTACGGGTTTTGTTAAGTTGTTGTACTCAGTAATATGACTCCGCATGGAGTGTCTTCTATAATCAACAAATTAATTTTGCACGTTGGTGCATGTCTTCTCTGTTCAATAAATTAATCCAATCTTCTGAATGCTTTTAGACTGTGGCCATTATCTAGAATCTTGACTCAAGGAAAGGCTTAACTAATCACTAGGCAACAACCACCTCTCAGTTGAGACTGATAAAATAGTGTGATAAAGGCTTTGTTATTTGTTATTTTTTATTTTTTATGTTTAATAACCAAAGGCTTAAATTTCAATGTATAAATCAGGTCAACATTCCAGAAGCAAAATGTTCCGCAGTTAAAGTTCTCAATGCCAGCAAATGACTTCTGTAGAGACCAAGGGAAAGAATCGTTGTAGAATAGGAGTTTAGTTCATCACAGGAAGCTCTTTTATCAGTTGGCTCAATGCCATGGTTTATGAACTGTTAATTGTACCATGTAGATTGAGATAATCCTATTGATGCTGTCCGTGATCTTTATTGTTAAATACGTTCCTGAATCTCAAATTATAAATCATGTACTATATTTGCGCCTGTACTGTTCCATATTATATTAGAACTCGTGTGTGCAGCAGTTATAAAAGTATGAATGCTTGAGTTATATGCTCGAATTACAGATGATTTTAGAACTTCCTGGTACAGTTAAAAAAAAAATGATAATTAGCATTTGATTTTACTACAGCATAATCTATCTATTAACTTAAATATCGTACACATTACGGCACCCTGCCCTTATGATAAAATGTTATAGATATGGGGCTTCTCAGAAAGGCGACAAGACTATTAGAATGGAACCTTGATGAAGAAAAACACTTGTGCCTAGTTAATTAAAGAAGATACCAGGAAAAATGACACTTAAGAATTCATAACTTCAAATGTTGACAATTAATGACCCTAAAAATCAGAATTTTTCTTTAGGAGTTAAATTTATAATTCATGTTCTCTCAAGTCATTTAAAGAAACCTACGAATTCTAAGTTCTCTTCTGCTCTCTGGAAGTTTACAGCTTCATGACGAGTGATATTCTGGAAATGCACTTGTAGTAACTTATTCTTGTAGTGCTTAGGAAGAATTTTATTTTTAAGGTTTTGAATTTCAATATAATTAGTTATAAATCCTTAAATGTCATTCTTCCAAGATACGATATAATTTCATTATGTTGAGACTAGTGGCTCATCCAAAATCTTGCAGGAAGACCATGCAGAGGAACTGGAAATGGGCTATACTGTACTCCACCGTGACGTCCTACCACCTCCCACCTGCCAACCATTGAGTCCCAAGTTAATTTCCTTAGTAGATTGGGACTCAAAAATAAATACACTGATTTAGTTAGCAGACAGACATTTTTTTGGGTGAATTACACAAAGTTTAAGAAAAAGTTACATTGTTCCTGATTTATGAATAGTGTGTTTTGCCTCACACAATTATGATTTATGAATAGGCACATATAGATTTTATATTGATACTAAATGTCTTAAAGGTACAAAGATGTTACCTTAATTTGGTTACCAAGTGGTGAATTAAAATCAGCATGTTCAGCTTGGCAAGCTCATTTCCAGGACAAGAGTGCGCTCCATTTCCAAATGGCATAAAAGTATTGGGTTTTGGTGCAACCTGAACTCATCCACAAATAAAATTGACTCCCAAATTCTTAATAAAGAGAACTTATTAACTCATTTTTCTCGAGCATATTATTTTTACCTGAAATCTTGATGGGTCAAAATTGTGAGGATCGAGGAAATATTCTGGATTATGATGGATGTTCCTGAACAATGGCATCACTTTCCAACCCTTTGGTATGAGATACCCTGAGCAGTTCAAACAAAGCTTGAAGATCAGTCAAACTTGTCATTAAGAATAACTTCTTACATTTAGTAAGAGAAAATTCTGTTCAAAATCTTTGATTACCCTCGTACACTACATCAATCGTTGCTTCCCTATAGGTGAAAGATATGACGCTTGCCATCCTCAAGCTTTCCAGTATCACCTGCAAAACAAGATCCTTCTTTTGAGAAATTCATTCATGAAGTTTCTTTGAACTGAGACTAGGAATTAAGTACTGCAGAAGCAGCAGCAGTTACGCTGTAAGTAAGTGGCATCGTTCTGGTCTGGCCCCATGTCAAGGGTTTCTTCCCTCCATCATTAGCTTCATAAATGGCCATTTGCTCATCCTGTATATATTACAATTGGCTGGTTGGCTAAAAGGCATAAACAGTGCTATAATGTCCCAGACGTAAATGTTGAACACTTGTGAGTCTTACTGCTATTGCTTCAAGAAGCTTATGGTGATCATGGAGATACTTCAGAATCCATGTCAGAACACTAGCTGTAGTGTCCTGAGCTGCAAATAGAACCCCAACTAGATTATCAGCAATTTGGTCATCAGTTAGTGTTTGTCCCTTTTCGTCCTTGTAGTTCAACAAGTGACCCAAAAGGTCCTCCTCCATCAATCTCTTCTCTTTTCTCTTGCAAATTATCTCCCTGATAATCTCTTGGATTCTCCTTCTAGCCTATCACAATTCATCAGACACAGAAAGAGATAAAGAATAAGATCTATGCTTTCAACAATTTGGTGTCGAGAATTTTATTGGTTATCAAATTTACCGAGAATGCCTGGGAATATGTAGTTCCTGGAATCCTGTTTGGGAAAGAATTATAGCCTTTCTCTACAATGCAATAGTTCTCCTTAAGCTGCTCACTGTAATTGCTGTCCAAGTGACCGAACACGGATAGGATGCCGATACTAAAAGAGAACTATCGAGAATGAAGAAAATCCATTTAAGTAGGAAATACCAAACACGGATTTAAACCAGAAAGCTGAAGTTTTATGCAAGTGCAAAATAAAAATGTCAGCTACATCGTACAATCAGAACTTCCAATGTGTACAGTTTGCAACTAACCTTCTTCATGCTCTGAAAAACATTAATGACTTGACCAGCAGAAACCCAGGACTCCATAGTAGAGACAGCCTCGGCTTCAATATAAAGAATAAGTTTTCGGATTCTTTCAGGGGATAAAGAAGTTTGAACCAGCTTCCTGATCCTTGTATGACAGTCTCCTTGGTGGAAGAACAATGCAGAAGGGCCTATGAGTATCTCTTTGCTCTTGGGGTAGGTAGGCTTGAACAAGTGAGCATGAGTGACAAGCACAAATCTCGCAGCCTCAGGGCTAGCCAGCATCACACAGGGACAACCTAATACGTGGGTTTTGAAAATCACTCCATATCTGATCAACATAAGAATAAGCAAGTGAATTTACATATAAACTCCATGCATGCAAGATTAAGGAAACCTGAAAAAGATGAGAACCTTTTCTGCTTCAGAGAAAAAAATACATTCGGGTCCTCAGAGTAGAGTTGAGGAGTCTCTCCAATATAAGGCCAGCCCATAGACCCTGGTGGAAGAGATGGGGCAGCTTTTGGTATCTTGTGTTTTTTTATCAAGAGACCCCAAAGGGTCAGAAATGAGAAGAAGAGGAACATGTACAGTAATATAGCCATACACACTAATCTCTGTTGATGAAATATGAAGTCCCCTTATCTAAATATGGGAGCCAACGATGAGGTTGCATCTGCAATATATAGAAGCAGCGAGAAGAGGGTAGGGACAACTAACTACCTTCATTTGTTTTTCTAATTAAGGTTAAGTACAATTTTCTCCAAAAATCTGATTCTGACACGACTTTTATCTATCCCTGTTTATTTAACTGCAAGGGGGAAGGTCGACAGAAGTAAATAACATATACCAACAGGGTATTTGTCACATCTGTTTCTAAAGGAAAAATAAAGGAGAATTTGGGATAATTGAGATTTGGAATAGAAAACGACAGCCAACTAAGCAGAGATGCCTCTGGAGCGAATTAGAGATAGAACTCTTTAGTTCTGAGTATTTTATTGGTTTCAGTTTTCTAGTAAATATTAAAAAACTTGCATAATTTGCATTATAACGGGGTGAGTACCAGAACTTTTAGTTAGAGGGGCTGAGTTGACAAAGCACATAATAATTGTAGAAAATTTAAATTTATGTATATAACTAATATAGTATAAATATTTTAATATACATATTCATATTCAATTTCATAAATATATATATATATATATATATAAAATAAATATGCATTTTTATTAACAATAAAAACAATATACTTTCATTTTTTAAGATTTTCCCTTTGATTTTTGATGGCACAACATGTTCATGATAAACTTTTCAGTAATTTTCTTCTTGATATAAACTATGATTAAATTGGTGAAAAATTTATTTTTTTTATTAGCATTGAATGATTTAAATACATCTTATGATCTAAAATTGTGCTTAATCGAAGAAGCTCTATCACTTGCTTGCTCAATTTACTCTTTAATTATTTTAATTAATAATCGATGACAATAGTAAATATATCAACACAATAATGATAATCAACTATCGCAAAATTTTTATGTCTGTGAAATTAAATTATATAAAAGTAAAAATTATTTATGTCATAATTTTGAAAAAAAATTTAGAAGAATACTTTAATCATATTCTCTTTACTTTTAAATAACTGATTTTATGATAGATATCAAATATATAATATTCAATATATCTTATGATTTTTGTTACAATACTTGATAAAGTTTGTTAGTAATTATCATAATTTTTTTATCAAATACAAAATGAAAGCAAAATTAAATAATATTAATTCTTACAAAATATACATAATATTATCTCGTTGAAAATGAGAACTATGCATGTATAAAAAATTATATATAGAATTGAAATAAAAATCTTCTTATATCTCTATATCTCTATAATATGTTAATTTAGAAAATTAAAAATATATAATTTTAATATTTTATTTATAAAAAAAACTAGGGGGCCTTTTTTCAAGGTTCGACTCCCCGTTATGAAGTGTTAGGGCCCGCATTAGTGCATAGTGTTTTTAACACCATGATACCGTCTTTGAAGCCATCATTATGCAGCTTGCGTGCTGATGGTGCTTCTTCCTTGTCTATGACACGTGCAAGCTCCATGAAAGATGACATGAGAATGTCAATTATAGAGTTGAAAATAAGGATTGAATATGAAGATACTGTTTATGTAAAAGTTTTAATTTTAAAAATTAATTTTTTAAAATAATTGAGCTTGCAGGCCTTATTCTTATAAGCTTTATGAAAAAGAACTTTGACTCGAATGACTCTTTAAGTTTTGATAAGTCGGGTTATATTATCTCTACATACATATATTTGATTAATAATAATATAATTTAGTTAATATTTATTGTATGTAATGAATAAAAAGTTATAGAGATAATTGACATTAAATTTTATATTTATTTTGACAAGTGAACTAACACTTGAGAATCTAATATTTATTTTTAATAATGATGGGAGAATTTAGATTTACATTGATGAAGATTAATTTCATCTTAAATTTAAAATTTTAAAATTTTTATCAAATTTTATGTGAGATTTTATTTTTTTATGTCAAATTTTATAATATTTTGTTTAAATTATAACATTGAATTGTTTTGGGAAAGAGGACTTAAAATCTTATTCTTGAGCTTATAAATAAAGGTAAATTTCAAAGTTAAATTATATTTTGGATAATCAAATTTCAGAACCTAAACTTTTAAGGGCTTGGTCAATAAAGATAGGGCTTACCTTCATTTTCACATCGAGCGAACCAAATAGGCTTAGCCAGTCACGCCACATACGAATTTTCTTTATGACAGAATTTGCGGGAGCGGCTGTATTGACTTTTACGGAGTGCATGCTCAATTTACTACAAGAGCAGAGGACAGCATAAATAATAGCTTGATATGGGTATGGTTCCAACTTCCGACTCTTATCCCTTTCATACAAAGAACACAACTTAATGATCACAAAATCAGACACGTGAGCCTCAACGGTGGAGGAGAATTAATATTGATCCCTGTTTAACAGTTGTCAGAGTGGGGATCAATATCGAGATTTGACACCAAATCAGAAAAGGCGCCCGTCATTGGGCTAATGGGTTCCAATTCATGATTAGGTTATAAGTTACGCCCAGTGGGACCAGTTGTCCGATGGTGTGTTACAGCCTATGATTCTTGAAATTCCCAGATCAGATGACTGACCCCACTTTACTATCCTGTGTCCAAATAGATAAATGTTCAACGACGTCCACGTGACGTTATTTCCCATAAAGCTGAAGTGAGGCGCCAAGCCAAACCTATACGTGTCAATATCGTGGTGGTCCCGGTCCCAGAGAGTTTGGATCCAGAGGGAACGCATGGTCAAACTGAATAGTTCAGCGTTCGATGGGAGGGCATGTCGGCTCTAACTCGTCTTTTACAGTGTCACCCTCAGAGCCGCACATGGATAACGCAACTCATTTCTTAAAGGGCGATTAAGGATGTGATATATTAACAAATTCAAATAAATATAAAATTACACTGCAGTGTTAAAATATTAAATTGAAATTAATTTTTATAAAAATAATTAAAATATCTTTCATTTATTTAAAAAGAAAAAAAATCTACCAATCATTTTCACTAAAATATCACCGTTACAAGCAACAATCACCAAACCTTTATTGTCGTAGTTTCAATCAGTGGCTAAATTCTTTAAAGATAGTTAAGGAGAGTTTGAATTCATAATCCATTGACTCATCAAAAATGAACGATCACCGAGCCATTAAATATCTTTAATCATACAAATACAATACATAAATATATATATATATATATATAATAAATTTTGTTTCCAAACCTCTTGATTATTATATTATTTATTAATTACATAACTTTATTTATTAATTTTTAATAGGATTTGTTAATTACCTAAATTTATTTGTTAAGTCAGTGACTCTTGTAATTGAATTACATTGCTTGTTAATGCATAACTTTACTTATTAATTTATAAATAAAATTTATTAACTACTTAACTTTACCACTCTCTAAACTCAATTATATTACTTGTTAATTTTTCAAGTTTACTTGTTAATTTCACAATAGCACTTGTTAATTTCCTAACTTAATTTGTTAATATTATAACAAGACTTGTTTAATCATTGATCCAAAAAGCAACTAACTTGTTAATTGCGTAATTTTACTTGTTAATTCATAAATATAACTTATTAATTAATTTACTTATTAAATTTGTAACTTTCTAAATTGAATTACATTTTGTTAATCGCATAATTTTAGTTGTTAATTTCTCAACATAACTTGTTAATTCCTTAACTTCACTTGCTACATTCGACTCCCTTAATATATATATATATATATATATGAACGTTATTTTCAAATCTTTTGATTATTATAACAAAAAGTGGACTTGTTAAAATAAGTAAAGTCAAGGAATGAACAAGTCATATTGAGAAGCTAACAAGTAAAATTGTATGATTAACAAGCAATGTAATGCAATTAAAGAAGTCATAAATTTAGCAAGTAAAGTTGAGAAATTAACAAGGTCTGTTAGGGAGTCATGAATTAACAAGTAAAGTTAAGTAGTTAATAAATTTTGTTTAGGAATTAACGACATAAGTTACATGATTAACAAATAATGTAATTTCATTTTAGTAATCAAGGATCTAATAAGTAAAGCAAAGTAATTAACAAGTGATTTTAAGAAATTAACAAGTAAAGTTATGCAATTATATAGTTGTTTTTTGAATCAATGAAATTAACAAGTGCTGTTATAAAATTAACAAGCAAAGTTGAGAAATTACCAAGTAGTTGTAGTTTAACAAGTTAAGGAGTCACAGATTAACATAAAAAGTTAAATAGTTAACAAGTATTGTTTAGAAATTAACAAGTTACATGATTAATAAGTAATAGATTTATTACACACACACACACACATATATTATGCATTGTATGATTAAAAAGATTCAATGACTTGGTGGTTTTTAGTCTTTTGGTGAGCCAAGGAGTTATGGGTTCAAGCCCCTTAGCTACTTTTGAAGAATTTAATTTTTTAATTATTGTCAACAGTGGTTTGGCGATCGGCCAAAGTTCAAGCGATGGAGGTTTGGTGATTGTTATCTCTAGTAAGGCTCTACCTGCCATCGACAGTGTTCTAATGACGATAGCTAGTGGTTTTTCTTTTATCTTTTTTAAATAAATGAAGGGCATTTTGATCATTTTTTATAAAAAAAATTTTAATTTAGTGCTTTGATATTGCAGTGTAATTTTATAGTTATTTGGGTTTGATTTGTTAATGTTCACTTCTTTAGTCCTTGAATGAAATTCTCCCTTTCTTAAATTTTATTTAATATCATAAGAAAGTGTGTTTATTTTTGTGATTGTCTCTTGCAACATGTTTTTCGTTTTGAATAGACAAACCTGTAATTGTAATTGTAATTGTGGTTGTAAAAAGTGCAACCACCCTATTAAGCCATTACTTTGGTACGATTGATAAAGAGTTTTATTAGTTTAATTAAAAATTTTAACTTCAAGTTCGGAAATGTAACAATAATAATGGTAAAGTTTCTATCTGAAAGAAATTAGTTTTGACTTAATATAGATAATCTAAGCCCTAGTTAAATATTCTCAACTCAGATCTAGGGCAGC